GGGGGTTTGGAGGGTTTGGGGTTTAGGAATGTTTAAATCTTAAAGTTCAGGGTTTAGGGATGTTTAGGGTTTGGTGGTTAAGGTTTGGGTCTTTAGAGGTTTGGGTTTGGGGTTTAGGGTTTTGTGAGGCACAGAGGAGGAGCCTGGGGTAAGATAGGGGCCTCAATCATTGAATCAGGGTTGTGGGCTATCGGTATATTTTTTAGCATACTAGTAGCAGGGGCTACAATGAGAGAATGTTACAAATCATTCCGACCCAGGATGGACTTTTCTGAGTTTAGAGCTTAGGCTTACGGGAGGGATTTGGGGTTTTTTAATATAGCACAAATCCTAGCATTTTAGAGGGTCTCTCTGCGTCCCTCGACTAGATCCACATACCAGGCGTGGAAGTTCTAAGCAGTGCAAGTCCCGTCCATGCTAAACCCCAAACCCTAAGCACTCAACCCTATAAGCCCTAAGGCCTAAGCCCTCGTCTTCTGGCCCCCGAAGCCAAAGCACACGTGCGATAGTAAGTCCAGCTTTGCCTACGAAGGTGCGCCGGGAGGTGGATTCACAAAGGGCAGAGCTCCTCATGGAGACAACGAGGTGCCAGGTTCAGGGCCTTATTTTAATGTTTGGTTTAGGGTTTGGGAGCCTCAATAAATACATGTGTTTTTTCCTCAGGGTTCGTTGTTATATGTATATCCTGATAACGTACCCAAATCCTATTTTAGTGATTAAGACCCCTAAGTTAGAATCCAGAGGTTAGGGCTTTGGAGTTTTACGGTGCGGATTTAGGCTTTAGGGACTTTAGGGCTTCGCACATTTTTATCAGCCTCAGACAGATCTGGGATGCCTTACGGCGATGTAAAGTTTAGTTGTAGGCTCTACAGGGACTCAAAGGACTCTACAGTTAGGAGTTCATTGGGAATGTTCCTCGGCTTGTAAGAGAGCTGCCTTGAGAGCAGATCTTCATTAATTTAGACCCTAAACCCTAAACCCCTAGCCCCTATAAACCCCTGTAAACCCTATAAACCCTTAGTGAAGTGTTGGACTCTTTACACTGCTTTGGAAGCTCAAGACTCCCTGGTTCTTAGTAGGGAATGGGGGAATGGATCCCTATGATAGTCCCTTAAGGTGTCCTATAGAAGTCCCAAAAAATTCTTTCCTCCATTCCCTACTAAGAACCAGTCAGAAGGAGGGGGCCCTGCCTAATGTCGAAGTGTTCTTCTGGGGGTTTCCAGGATCTCTCTCTTTTCGAGCCTTCTTTCTTGCCGAGGCCAGAAAGGGAGGCTTAGGGTTTAGGGTTTAGACAAGGCTTTGCATCATGGTGACTGCTCACTCGGCGCCATGTGGGGGAATACCACGAGCTACATGTGGAGAAGCACCCGAAAGTAAGCAGTAACGTGCCACATGCACTCGACTCCTTAGTCCTTGTTTAAGAGGCAGGCTATATAATTCGATACATGTCACATACCATACCTGCATACTATGTTATACTGTACCATACTCTTTGCGTTACGCATTCTGCTATGCGACATTTCGTTATACCGCTGCTGTAAATCATGAAATCGCAAAGCTTTGCCAATCCTTGGCAGTTTGTTTCTGCCTAGATTCGCGGAGATTGCAAGCTTTGGTTGCCGGTTCCGCAGCTCGCTTTGCCTCAAGATCAGATCAATTTTGCTAACTTTTGTACCTCGAGGCCCGTTGCTGCCATTGCAGTTGCTCGGGCAGTGTTGGGAACTTTCTACTTAGCGCTCTTCATGTGCCCTCGGAAGCCCCATGAGCAGGGCTTACAGTCAGACCCGATGGGCAACCAAGGTTAAGGCCCATGACGCAATCCCAGACCTTTGTGGCAGAGCCCTCGCCTGCGGATCTTGCGAAAAATCTTCAGCAGCCACTCGGGGACGACGGAGTTCCTTTAACCCGAAATCATAATTCCCGAAACGCTAGGGCTCCAGTTCCCTAAATAGTAGGTTACTGGGGTACATAATATATGGTTAGTAACCCACTCTTTAGGTAACTGGAGCCCTATAGCTTACACCGGAAACTAGCACCGAGGCGCGTAACTATGTTCCATGCCGGTGAGGAGCTCCATTCCGGCAAGTGGCTCGCAGACTTCCAGAATCTCGGCGAGTGCCTGGAAAAAGTGGGTTTTCAATGGCTTCTGAGAGCTGGGAATCACAGCACAGCCCATGTTTTTCTCTCCAGTTTTTGGATTGAGCTCGCTTTTGCTTCAGATTTTTTTAAAAAGTTCGCGCTTAGGAAGACGGGGCTCACGGCATGGCACATCTGCATCGAGAAGCTCCAGATGGGCCCGCTGCAGAGCTGCGACGGAGAACTGCTGCAGGCCTTCTGTGCCCAGACGCTGGCACGGCTCTCGCGTGCCTTCGCGAGTTGGTTCCCGGATGTCGAGTCGCGAGCGATTGCGAGGGACTGCCTGGAGTCGCTTCTCACTGGGCATGCCCATGGGCAAAGTCTGGTTTGGAAACAGCTGGCACTGGCCCTGGCTTGTGCAGAGCTTTGGCTTGGTACTTGGGCGGCGGCGGCTTCGCTGAACTCCAGCCTCCCTGCGACCGTGAGGCGTGAGCTGCTGGTCCTACCCGCAGAGCTGCTCTTTGACGCCAAGGCGCTGCCACTTACGGACCAGAACTTGCGACAGGGTGCCGCCGCCTCCCTCTTCCGCTCCTGTGACGCAGTCTTCGGCTTCCTCCTAGGGACCGGATCCGACGGCCAGGACTTGCGAATTCTGGGTGCCTGGCTCAGGGCCGTGCGCAAAGCGCAGCTCTGGCTGCCCACTGGCGATGTGGCTGCGCCGTTGCGGTGCCTGGCACAATACTTGGAGCCACTCTGCAGTGCCGCATTGATGGCAAAAGCCGAAGCGTCCGAGGTGGGTAGTTCTCTAACTCAGGGTTTCTTTCTAGCTCCCAAAAAAACCCCAAACGGCACCCTTATAAAAAAAGACCCTGAAAGGGACGTTGCTTTAGCCTTATAGAACCCGAAAAGATCCCTTTAAAGGAACCCTATAAAGCCCTATAAACCCCTAGGAGGTTCGGAGCCCAGGTGGCACAGCAGCTCGCAAAGTGGCGCGGGGCCCCGAAGGAGGCCGCGGCCCTCCTCGGGCCACTCTGTAGCAGCCTCTTCCAAGGGGACAGCTCCATGGAGGCAGAGCTTCGAGAGGACTCCTTGAAAGGTTGGCTCCATATTATCTGTGTTGTTGTAGTATACTATATGTCTATATCTATATCTATATATATATATGTATATTTTTGTGTCCTGTATTTTCACTAGTATCGTAGGTTATAACTTTATTTTTAGTTGTCTCAGAGCGTCGAGGACTCCTTGAAAAGCTGGCTCCTGCCTCTGCTGGTGGACCTGGCAGAAGACTTTTGGCCGAGAGCTGCGGTGGGCGAGCTGGACCTGGACTGGGAGCTCATCGCCAGGCAGGCGTTTGCCCTGCTCAGCGAAGCCGCGCAGACTTGGGATGGGACTCATTCTGTGGAGGAGTGTCTCAACAAAATCAAGTCTTTAAGCGCATGGTCGTTGAAGTGCCTTCGGCTCTAGAATCTCTGAGCCACGGCCGCTCACACCCCGTGTCCCAGGTTTGACGATGTCGAGACCACCATCTCTGTCTGGCAGGCTTTTGCGGAAACTGGGTTCTTGTTAAGGGATTTTGTTTAAGTTACCATAGTAGGGATCAATAGTAAATATGGTTTCCTTATTATGGTAACTTAAATTAAATCCCCTAGCAAGAACCCAGGAAACACTGCACGCCGCAGTGCGAGCAGCAGACACCTTCAGCTTTCACGATTCTGGACAGGCTCGGTTGTAACTAATCCACAACTTGCCGACAAGATTCCGGTGTTTGCAGTTTAGCCCTTAGCCCTACCTCCGAAAACCCTGAACCTTATAGACCCCCAGAGTATGCAGACTAAGCCCTAAAGCTTGAAACCTAAACCCTAAACCCCTAAACCTACACCCGAAACTCTAAATCCACAGGAAAATAGCAGGCTATACCATACAAATTAAACGACGTGCAATGGCAGGCGACTGCCTTCCAGCCTCCCCCGGAGAAGCGGAGCCGACGAGCCCACGACCGCTGGCAGCTCTCCCGACACCACTTGGCCCAAGCCACTCAGTGAGGGTTTAGGGGTTAGAGGGGTTTAGGGTTTAGGGGTTGTAGGGGTTTAGGCTTTCGTGGTTATAGTAGTCCCTGCATAATCCCTTAGAGGAAGTTTCAGGGTTAGGGTTTAGGGGTTGTAGGGGTTTAGGGTTTATTGAGAGGTTGTCAATGGGGGTTTTACGAAATGGGGCCCTAAGACCTTGGAGTGTGGAAAACTCGGGGAGTATGTGAAAGCCAGCTCGCAGGCACAGAAGTACCAGACTAATGCACGAAGCGCACAAACCAAGAGAAGCCCTAAACTTTAGGGGTTATAGAGGTTTAGGGTTTCGGTTTCGGGGTTACAGAAGTCCGTGTATAATCCCTTAGAGGAAGTTTCAGGGTTAGGGTTTAGGGTGTAGTAGTCCTGCAGGGTTCAGGGTTCGAGTTTTGCGTAGCAGTCGTGCAGGGTTTTAGGTTCTATTCCTTGCTCCGCAGCAGCAAGGCCAGCAGCATCAGTTCCCTCTTCTCACTCTTGCTCCAAACTTTGCTGGATTGCATGCGGCTCCCGGAATTCCCGGAAGATGAGGAGGCCCTGGGGATGCTCCAAAGGGCCCGGCAGGAGGTGGAAGCGGCCTTGCTGCCCTGGGCGGCGCTCCTGACCAACTCCGAGACCTGGATCGCCGAGCTCTGGGAGCCCTTGAGGCGAGTGGAGGAGCTGCTCTCTGGAGTAAAGGAGGAGGAAGGCGACTTTTTGACCTTCCAGGCCCCTTTCAGGATCTCCAAAAAGAACCCATTAAATCCCCCCCAAAAACCTTAAGACCCTGAACCACGAAAGCCCTTATTAAAACAGCCCTAAACCCTAAACCCTTCTTGAAAGGTGGCCCGGGACATCGAGGTGGTGATCTGGTTCTTCGGAGCCTTCTGCGCCAGCCTCCCCGAGGGTCAACCGAGCTTTGCTGCTGCCGAAGCCGCCTCCCGAGCCATCTCCAGCATCGACACTGGACCGCATTACCCCAGGAGGGCTCCAGTTTCCTAAATAGCAGGTTACTGGGGTACATAATATATAGTTAGTTAGTAGCCCACTATTTAGGTATCTGGAGCCCCTAGGGTTGCTACAGAAGCCTGAAGCCAATAACTGTACCAATGGTATTCCTTAGGGCTCCTTGTTACAATTATGCCATAAAAAGGAGGCCCACAGCCCTATTCTTGCTTTTTAAAGGGCCCGACATGAGAGGGTTTGGGGTTCAGGGCTTGGGCCTCGGGGTTGAGGTTTGAGGGTTGAGGCATTGGGATGTAGGGTTTAGGGCGCTGCGGGTGAGGAATGGTGAGGATCTGGGGTTGAGGCTTTAAGGCTTCGGGTTTAGGGCCTCTGGTGGAGGCTTGTAGGGCCCAAGCCCAAGCAACGGATGGATGAAGAACGTTGATAGTTAAAAAGGATTCTAAGGTCGACGAATGTGCAGATGCGGAGAAGTAAGAGAGATGTGACGATACAAAGACGGGGCGAGACATGTCTGTAGGTTTTGGCCAGTAAGTTCAAGGGAAAGAAAGCCTCTAAGCCCAACTTGCCCTTAACCCAGGCTCCTCAGCTAGCGCACTTGGATGCTGCATTGCCCCCTTGGCGTGCTTTGCTGCTTGGATCTGCACATCCTTTCCAGTTTTGGGGCCCCTTACCCCACCTGCTTCTGACGCGTGGTACACGGATAAAGGTTCCCTAAACCCTAAACCCGGTTCGGTTGTTCTGGACCTCTGTGAAAGCTCAAGAGCGCAAGGCAATGTGCACCCTATAAACCCTAAACTTAGGCCCTATAAGCCCTAAACTGAGGCCCTAAACCCTAGACCCTAAACTTCTCCCTCAACCCTGTTCCCTATAAGCCCTAAGCTTAGGCCCTGAACCCTAAACTTCTCCCTCAACCCCGTACCCTATAAGCCCTAAACTTAGGCCCTAAACCAGAAACTCCTAAACCCTGAAAGGCTTTGGTCCTCTGCATGCACGTTGGCCGCTGCCGTGAATGCCAAGATGCCGGAAGGGAGAGAACCTCTTCTTCTGGAATGGATGCTCTTCGGTTCAAAGAGCTTGGGGTTGAGGCTTTAGGGTTCAGGGTTTAGGATTTAGGGTTTAGGGTTTAGGATGCTTTTCGGTCAAACAAAAGCAGTGGCTTTTCAAACTTGTTCTTGGGGTCGTTATAGGGTTTCATAAGGGTTCTTCAAGGGATCTATACTATAAAGATTACTATGTCGGTTTCGTAGAGAGGAGGCTTGGTAGGGTTTTCGTACTCAAGCCTTTCAACTACGACTGGAGCAGCTGAGGCTCGCACGCCCCCCGGGCGAGGCAGGTTCTCCGACCATGCTGGTGACTTGCTTGCACACTCATACATGTTCTGTCCTGTTGTGCCACCTGGGGGCTTTGCTTAGAGCCGAGGGTTCAGCATGGATCATGAAGCGCTGTAGCAGTCTTGCAGAGCCGCATCTAAGGTTTATAGGGTGTTCAGGGTTTCGGGCTTATAGGATATATGGTGCAGCGTCGCCCTCC